AGAAACAGTAGAAAATGAACGAGTAAATATTTGGAAACACTGCTCTAAGCCTAAACAATGCAATTCAAGGTTCATCCAAAATCATCGATCGCCTTGATCAAATCACCAAGTGATATACTCCTTCCCAGTTAGAGTGAATAACGATTGAGAATTATTCGATAGGGCGGTCATATTCGAATTGATGGGAGGCGAGGATCGTAAAAACCCAAATCGATCGAGGGATTGGTTGATTTGCGTTTTTGGTGGTCACAAATGGAGACAGTGGGGTTATCAAGAAAAGAGGAAGGAAAATGAAATAACTTAAAGTAAGAGGCTCATTACCCTCGTGTATCAGAATGAAGTCTTTTCCTCAACAATGTCAAGAAAACTGCAGCAGAAACAACGTGTAATCGCCCACCTTCACAAGTAAGGACGTCGCATCTTTGGACATCGCTAAATTAAGCTCTGCGACAAGAACAAGATCGCGCCATGACGCAGGCTCGTCAGCGAGGATAGCTTTAGCATCTTCGGCTGCATCTGTAGCATTCCCACTTTGCAGAGCACGATAAACTCTGAGAAGAAAGACTTTCAAGCCGAACTAGTGCTAACCGTAAGAACAGTTACTATATTAAGGTATTCCCTTCAATGAGCAACAATACTCAGCGACCTACTTCAATGGCAAAACGCTGTTTGCATTTTCGCGAACAAGAATCCCGAAAGCCAGTGAAACCATTTCCTTATACCTGATAAACTGGGCGAACTTTGGTTTTTAACATGGGACAGGCGCGATTCCCGCGAGTGAAATTACGTGAAAAAAACTAGAAATTTAGAATAAAAAATACTTCAACTACTTTGGAGAACGCCGCTCAAAATCGCAGTGTCGATTCGTTACAAAGGGTTACGTGGTGCCGAAAAAGTCAAATCGATAACTGACCATCGAATCAGAAAAACTGTGAAATTTGTTCCATAGACACGATAGCTTCGAAATCGATTCTGAGCGTGGATAAAATGGTATGAGCTTACTAATTCGAAAACCTTAGTTTCACGGACTTTTTCGACCAGTATGTGATAATATTTCATTGATGCGCTTTTAGCAACTTAATTTACACTATTTCATGCTGCGGCACAGCCTTGAGAAAACGCTTTGAACCCGAAGACAGAAAAGAGAAATGATAGGAAACATGAGAAGCTTCCAACCTGAAGCGTCTCGCATCTGGGGACTCCTGTCCACATTGCTCGATCAAGTCATTCAAATCCTCTCCTTTCCATAGCGCTACTTTTGCGCTGTCAATAGCGAAGGATGGAGGGAGACCTATTAGTGGGACTTGAATTCTAAACAGTTCACTTTACTTGTACTAACTTATAGTCTTTCAGAATAGATTTGCTAAATTATTCAATTTTGGAGTGTGAATGGACCTTGCTGCCTCGTCTTTGAAATCCATCTCCAGAAACACTCTTCTCTTGAGGGAACGCGCGACAACGTCGCACCGGTCAGATAGTCGCTGTGAACGGATCCAGTCAACCACCTGAATTAGAGTAATTAATAAGTAAATCTGTTTTCGTTTCAGATTCCATTTCCCTAG